GATATTTTAATCTATCAATATTTTTTCCCTCGTCTTCAGAAGTTTTTAAGTCTGTAAAAAAAGAAGTTTTTGAGGAAGAAGAAGAATTAGTATTATTTTTTTTTTTTAGACTTTAGAAACTCAGAAGCTGATCAAATATCGGGTTAAATATCGGTGGTATGGCCAATGTCCGATATTCAGTTTTAAAGCCGATACAGGCCGATACCGATAGGGGGCCGATTATATTGTGCATCCCTAATGAATATTCCCCTTTTTGTTTAAATAATAATTGAACTTTATTGATCTCAAATTGGAGAAATTTATCTCTGCATTTTGACTCATCCCCTTGGGGAGCAGTGGGCTGCCATTGTGTGGCGCCTAGGGAGCAGTGTTGGGTTAAGGGTCTTGCTCAGGGACCTATAGTGGAGGCTGTGGGGTTAGAACCAGGTACTTCCAACCTTCTCAGAGCACACTCACACTGCTATAACCAATTGGCCAACACTCCACAAACACTTATATACATACACTTATATACACAAACACTTATATACACTTTAATAACAAAGTCAGACTATTACCAGGAGTGGAGGTGAAAACAAATGACACTGCTGTTAAATCACGGTAAGACACTCACCACTAAAGTTTAGCAAACACTTTAATGTTAGGGTTCTGAGAATTAACTGGATTCCAAAGTGAACTAAATGGAAAGATTGACCTCACTTAAAACAATCGGGATAAAAAATAAAATGGATAATGAGCTGTCCTGTCTTTTGCTTTGAGCTCTATTAATGTTATGCGCCTTAAAAGTTTGGATAATTTCAAAGCTAATGTGCTGATTGAGACATATTGGTCTCCCCCTTAAGCCTTTTGGGTATCTCTATCAATAACTATCAGTTTAAAATTGAAGCCCATCTAATAATGGATTATTGTTCTGGCATTGGTTAAATTTTTTCTTAGGGAAGGGGGGCCCAAGTAGGGTAAATGTAATTGGTTCAGAATATAACAGGTTTTTAAAATGTCAAGTTTGTAAAAATGTTTTTGGTCATTAAAGACAATCCCTGTGTTCACTCCCAAAAAGTGATCTTTATCTACTGTGTCACTTTGAAGGTCGGCCTCCCCTCATCATGGCTTCACCATCATGAATCGATTGAGCACAGAGAACCTTGTGGAGCCCATTAATAAAGATCTGGAATTCCAGCTGCAGGATCCCTTCCTGCTCTACAGGAATGGCAACTGTGAGTGTTTTAAAAAACACAAAATAATATAAATACACCAATTATAGAAGTGTTTAGATCATACTTGACATTTTATTTATAAGTGTAATTCTTAATACCACATTTCTGTTCATTGTTATCATACATTTAGGGTCTCATCCTTGAGACTTAATCAGTTAATTTCTACATTAAAGCATAATCACACTGGGGCTAAAGGTTTACCTCTGAAAATGCTTGACAAGCATCTTCCCAGGGCCTGTTGGAGGAACGCTCGTCCGTTGTGCTTGAAGTCATTTTTCAGTCCTCTCGGAGCATTAAGCAGGAAAACTTTGTCGCTCATGGCCTCGGCAGAGAAATTTCAGCTTAGTGTGGCTACAGATGTTAATCTGCATTTGGGAAAGAACCAAACTCTCATGGCTGTGAGTGACACACCCAGAGAGCTGCTTATTTATTCAGTTTACTGAATTGGAGTCAGAGCTGTGAAATAGAAGGTCGCAAAGGTCGCAAAGTTTCTCAGATCTTCAGAAAGTAGCTGACGGCACTGCCACCAAGGTAATCTATTAGAAGTCTAAACAGAAGCTTCATCAAGGCGACAAACAAAGAGTTGGATTGCTTTCCCATTTGTTTGCTTATAAGAAAAAACAGCATGGCCAGGCTGAGGGTTAAAGTAGACTGCTCCCCCTTTGGACTCTGCTTTCCCATCAGTCTGGCTGGAATGGAAGACATCATGTAGTAGATCGCAGGTATTCCAACTGGAGAGGCTCCTCTTGGGGCTTCACTAGACAGTGAGGGTTGCTCTTTTAATTCCTCCTTGTTTTTGGTCCATCGGTCGGTTCTCGAATCCAGATGAAGGTCTGTCCTTTAGTCATTTGGTGTAGTTGTTTCTAGCAAATTCCTGGCATGTGATCTTAAAAGAAAATGGTATAAGATGGCTCCTTCTTCCTGAGAAAGCGTTTGGAGAAGTACAGTTTAAATAGTAGAAAGGCAAAGATAGGTTTAATTCCTTAGAGAGATGTTAATGATTATTCAAGTTTAAATGCACTCCCTTTGAGGTGCCATCGAGCCAACTGCTCCAGGCTGTAGTGCGTTCAGATTAGAATTGGTGCTGCTGGAGAGAAGCGTTTACTTTTAACACACCTGTTTACAGCTCTTCATATTCCCTCCGGTAGCAGGAGGGACTGCAGGGAGGCAAAACGCTTTGGTTGCTAGGCTAACATTGCCTTTGGAGGGTCCCTGAGTACGCCAGCATTTTGTCACACACAAATAACACAACTGCATTGTTATTTTAACCAGTTACCAGTTTGGTGAAAGCAGGATAAAGGTGATGTTTTTCAATGTTCCAATTATTATTATTTTGACCTGTAAATTATGTAAACATGTGGACATTGCTTTAAACACAAATGGACATCTAGGTTATTGGTTCCATAAATGCTCTGAAGAACAATAATCTCTTTCTGTTGAATAGGCTCTTTATGAGCAGAGCTTTACTGGGTGTATCAAATGTAGCAGACATGCTCTAAAATTGAATACTGTTTTGCTTTTTGTTTTGACAGTGGGCATCTATAGTATTTGGTTCTATGATAAGCAGGACTGTCAACGCATCGCCCAGCTGATGGTCAAGTAAGTGAGAATATAAACCCCTTTGTCTCTGTAGAAATCAGACACATTTACCTCTGTCTGCTTGTTTGACTGAGGAAAATTTTTTTATTTTTTTTTCTTTCTTTCATTTAAAACTTGAAACATTAATTAAAACGTATCCAAATAGGAGAAAGTCACATTAGGTAAAAGTATCCAACACAGAGTAAAGCATTTCAATATTTTCTTTCTTTCTTTATTTCTTTTTTATTTATTTCTTTTTTTACTTCTTTTGTTCTTCTTTTTTTTTGGAACAGGAACAATAATATGAAAGAAAACATATATATATATATATATATATATATATATATATATATATATAT